GCCTCGAAAACCAGAATTGTGTTTAAACATAATTAATATTATGATTGCATATTTGAAAAGATGTGTACATAGTAGCAGTCGCTCATTAGATAAATAAGTGTAAATGTTATGAAATTATGTTGTTTTCTTGATATTTCTTTTATTCTGGAGGCCTACATGTTTACAAACTTTAAATGGCATAAAGTACACATAAATGATCACAAAATTTAGTGGTATTTGAAGAGAGCATTTTTTTGTGTAGATGTGCCATGAGTTTCTTCGGATAATTTGGCGTCGCACGGAAAAAAAAGTTTGATAACTGCTGCGCTAGGCCATCTAAACAAGTTCAACTGGATGATCGACATTATTAATTTTGAGTAAAATATACACACAGGGTAAAATTTCTGACTGCACATCTCTCAAGGTAAGGATCTATGGCAGACTGGGAACTACTGATTTTAAAATGTTCTCAAACAAACCTTGTGATAAGTTTCTTCCTGAATCTTCGTTCATAGGCGGCACTGATTGCAAGAGAAGCAACAAAAGAACAATCTGATACCACAGTTTGTTTGATGCTAAAACTTGATACAGCCATTATCATTTGTGGATCCTCTGCAAACTCATTAGGCCTCATCCAAGATTTTAATCGCTTTTTCTGTTTTGCGGACAATTCGAGTAGCCCAGATTTATCTCTGTATATAAATATAAATAAAATAAGTTTTAGCAAGTAAATATAATAAATACAGGGTGTCTCAAAAGTAAGTATACACTTTTAATTTTGATTTGCTTTTTAGGTACTCATCATAGAGCGTTCATTTCTTCAGAAAACGTAGTATGGATAAGTAGTAAAATTAAGGTATTGTCCGCATTGTTCATCAACCCACAGAATGATAATTAACTCGGCTACTACACACGAACAATTTATGCAATTCATAGTAAATTCCAAATTCTCTGTTAAAGAGGCCTCATATAAAAAGAGGATATTTGAAATGCGGCAGGCCAAAATTATTCGATTTAATCTTTCTTATATTATAATTTTTTCACATGGAATGCTATTACTAATTCCAGTTGCGTCATGTTAGAAAGACAATATGCATGACCCATTGCTGCAAAAAAAAACAATTCAAGCCGTGAAAATTTGCTAGGTATAGAACAGAAAAATGCTTTTTTTTCAAAAGGGGAGGGGATCCAATCCTCAAAACCCCCTTGCTGGTCCCCACTGAATCTAATATACTCACGTAAAAGGCACAGGAAAAGCAAATCTCTCTCTCAAGTCAACACTCATAAATGGAACATACTCTCTCTTATTGATAAATGACGTCGATCGAAGTACCTAAATGAGTGTAAAAACTGACTATACGAAATGTGATTCAATAAATAGATCAGAACTTATTTTGAAAAAACACAGATTGGAAATAGAATATTAAAGTTGACCTAAAGCATAAGATTTTGTGGAACGAATGGCAAAATTGATGGAGCAATCAGGTTTGCTGGAATGGTTGAAGGAAGTGAAGTGTTCTGATTCATCATAAAAAGTGTTCCCCATGAATAGAAAAAAAACATTAAAATTTAGGTTACATAGAACTCACGAAAAAATCAAAAAAAAAAAATTAAATTAATAACCTAGACTTCCAGCTACTTCTTTCGTCTTTTCAAGTACTACGAACTTGAAATCAACAAGTCCGTTAGTTGCATAGAAAATAGTTTTTACCTCAATAACAACAATCACTTCACTACATTTGTGCACTTTTCATTCAATAAAATTTTTGTTCAAGCATCTTCAACATTCCTAATAGCTTTATAATAACATAACTGAAGTTAAAAGCAAACCTACAGCAATTTCTTCTTTTGTGTATCCCCCACCAGATGATTGTGCAGTGGTTGTTGATGGTCTTGATTGACTGACAGTGGGTCGAAATGGGTTGGGTGCACTAGTATTCCTACCATCATTCTTAGTAAAATCTTTAAAAATAAAAAACATGGGTTGTGAACTAAATCTAATGTTTGCAAGTTGATTTTTATTGTTGTATTATAGTTAAAATTTAATTAAAGGCATTGGAATTGAAATAAAAAATTTCAACTTTGAATCCCATGCTTAAAAATATGAACATGAAGCAGCAGGAGTGCGACAAAACAGGTATCCCCGTTCAATTGAAAGAAAAAAGCAAGCGTGAAGGAAAAAATTTATTACCCTCTGAATTAAACGAAAAAGGCGAAATTTTTATTTAAATATTGGGATTTAAAATTGAAGAAAAAGTCTTCTTCTGATGACTTCCATCTTTATTGATTATTAAAATATTCAAATAGATTGGCCAAAAGAGATTTTTTCCTAATAACAACAATTTAGCACTTCTTGTCCAATAATGTGATGTAATGATGTAAACATTTGGTCATTTACCGGTATATCTTATTTCAAGCAGAGGAATAAAAAAAAAAGATTGTTATGGGCCTTACAGCCCATTATCTCCAGTGAGCATAATTTAAAACTTTTCTCGAAATGTAGCTCACCTGGACCAAGAGGTTTTCGTGGTGGATTAGGAGACTTTGGTTTTGCTTTAGCATTTTTGTTTTCAGTTTTCGATGAATTTATAGGAGGAAAATCATTGTTAACGACATCTGGTAATCCAGCAATTTTTTCATCAAACTCATCTTCCATTTTCTTTATTCCTTTTATATCTTCAGCTCTTGTTAAAGCTTGTTTGGCAAGACCTTCAAGTTGTTTCCTAGATGCTGGTGTTGTACCAGGAACATCTCTCTGTAAGAAACAAAAACACGATTTTTTTTTGGAAAATTTGTTTAAAGCACTCACTCAGAAACAAAAAGGACTGATTTCTGAGCGAAGTAACCGACTAACTAAGGTTCCAAGAACTACTGAAACTGAAAAAATCCTAGTGCAGAAATGCGTGTTATTACCGTAAATATCGATTTATGTCAGACTTAAAGACAATTAATGTCAGGGATGGCTAAAACCAAATAATTTAGTATTCTGAATACATTCTAAAATATGCTAATATTTTTGAATATGAAATATCGAATATATTTTACAAGAGAAATTATTCAAGACAATTAAATTTGGTTATGTAGAATAATTGAAATAAACCTTGTTTCAATTAATATTTTCAATTTTATTTTGTCAGATGTTATTAACTTAGTTTTTGGCTATTGTGAAATAATAAATGCTTGAAAAGACATTTTCAAATCAAAATTTTGTAAATTATTTTTAAAATCAATAAGTTATTAAATCGAATATAACCAATTTCAAATGTAATCGAATATTTCATTTGTTCTGGACATCCCTGGTTAATGTTATTATTACGATCAGAAGTTACCGGTAAATGTTTTAAAAAACCGAGAAAAACATATATTTTTGATTTTTAAATTCTCTACTGAAATACTTTGGTAAATATTGCTTCAAACAGTTTAAATGGCAGTATGGCACTCATTTTTGGGGGATTATTTTAAATAAAAAATTTTTTTCAAAATTTCAACCATCTCACCTAAGGCAGAGTGGTGTGCTGTGGCATTCCAGTAGGTGGCAGGTGGGGTATTGGAATGCCAATTCAGATCAAATATTCATCCCTATTTCTGGCTGTTATGGTAGGATATGCTGAAAAGTAGAGACCGAAGTCTACTCGGGAAACATATTAGCATAATCACATCAAAAAAACTTACAGCTTTGATGCATAGTTCAGCAGCTTGCAAATATAATTCCAATGCTTCATTTTCATTTCCTTTTTCATCTTGTTCAAGAGCTTGTTTTATTAAAAATTTCCCTCTCTGTTCATCTTGAGATGTGTGATGTGATGGTGACCGCTTTATAGACTGTTGCTGCTGAAAAATATAAAACGGAAATCTCTTCAAAATTATTAATAATCAATCATTTTGAAGTTACTTATCTTACTTACATTTTAGATGGGAATTAATATTCACAAATACATAAAAACGAGAATATCGGTCAGAGACCGAAGACTTATCGATCGAAAGTTAGGGGATCCCCCAAAACAGCGCTCTTACTCCATAGTGACACCTTGTGTCCCATCACTAATTAATTAATAACTCACTAACTATACGACATAATTCATCCAAAATCAATAGGCTTCTGGTCCGAGATATGATGAATGCACATGCGAAATTTGGAGCAGATTCAACCTCGCAGGCATCTAACAGACAGACAGACAAATACCTATCAACATACTTACCGATTAAAAACTATAAGTAACAAGAATGTATAACAGGTTAAATGGCCTCCTCCTGGTTAAATATAGTCATATTATGGGGAGGATTTGGCGTGTGGGTTGAACCTAAGTAACTAATGTAGGAGATGTCTTTTCACATTTATCCAGAAGAGGAGAGATGATAAGCTGACATATAGTCATGCTGCGCCGATAGCCCTTTCAATCATTGTATCTAGTTAGGGTGCGTGAATTTTTGCTTGCTACATTTGTATAACTACCAGATTCGTTAATAGTTTATCAAATATTTGTGTCAGATGCATGGACTTAAAAAATTAAAGAAAGAGAATTAATTGAAGTCAATATGATAAAACCTACAATCTCTCGAAAATGTACCAACTTTTATTAATAATGACACTTGAAAACAACAAACTTACTGTTTTTTGGGCTAAAAATTTAGCGAGTTCTTCCACTCTTTTCGAATATTCATCTGCTTTAGCAGCACAGTCTATTTTTGATCCGGCAATTGCAGCATTTCTTAGAGCTTCGATGGCCTCCTTAATTATAAACCAAAATTGTCAGAATTATCAAATGACGAATAAAAATTGTTGATAATGTTCTATGTTGGATCAACACATTACACATGTATTATGTGACAAGGTACAAGAGATATACTCAACAAACCTTATAATAGAATATGGCTTCAATATAATGTCCTTTTTCATCTAGTTCGACAGCGGACTTTGCAAACTTGAATCCATCTTGTTCCAAACCAGTTGGATCCATGGCTCAACGGCCGAATTGGGTAATAAGATAAAAAAATATATAATAAGTGTAGCCTAATTTCTGTCTGTGATTAAAATTGGCAGCTAAAATGGGTTGGTATGTACAGTTGCAAAGTTGAAATTTCAATTTAAAAATAATGTTGAAAGCACAAAATATTAACCATTACAAAATTCATTTCAAATGATAGTTACTACATCAGAATTACCTGAAGATTTTTCGGTACAAACACAGTACTAACAATGAAAAATAAATCAAAATTCACAAAAGACGAAAACAAGACAAAAACCAGCAATTATCATTAAAAGAAACAACAAAACTACCGGTAATTCTAAAACAAATTCATATATTTTCGATATCACGGAAAAAAGTTGATTGAAATTTATTTCGAAAGGATTGCTGATTTTCAAATGAAGATCATAAACAAGGATACCAAATCATTATACAAAAAATCCATTTCAAACCATGTATATTGACAATAATTCATAATAATACATTCCAGCTTTGGGACAGTGAGAATCCTATAGTCGATTTATCACCAAGGTTATGGTTTTATTCCTCAAAAGTTAATAGCATCACAAGTTCAGGTAATTTTTCTTCCAGGTAAATTAATACTTAGCCTTTTTTTACTATTTCACCATAATTGAATGTTATTTTTATGTGTTATTTTCGATACTTCATTTTCCTTTTTATATCATGATAAGACTCAACATCTCAAAAAGTCTGAATAGCACTGAATAGTGTTTATATATCTTACGTAATTAAGAATATAATTACTGATATCATACACTACAGTACCAAATGTATCTAAATAAAAACAAGATGAGATTAAAATAGTATAAAATAGTATGAAAAACTTGATCTTATGATCTTTTTAACATATACCAATTGGTAAGTTTAAAAATAAAAATTAAAACAAGGTTTTTAGAAGCTTATGATTTGTCTATGCAATGAATAAACATGCTAGAACATTCTTTAGTTTCTTCAACAACTTTTACATACATATAAGTGAATGTGAATAATTAGTAAGTAGTGAAACGACAAAAAAAACGTATATTTTTCAAGATTCCCTATTATAAAATTGTCACGTGCTATTTTGTACCTTTTAAAATGAAACATTATTCATAGTATAATATCTGATAATACATGCCTTAGAAATCGGTAAATTTAGTTTGTGATTTGATGTATATTTGATATATGTATAAATATAATGTTTTATGAGCTTCAAATTTGTGTGATAGGCCTTCATTATAACTTTCTGAATTAAAACAAAGATGGGGACACAAGGCAGGAAAATATTATTCTGAAACAATATCAACATTTGAAATCATTTTTTTTAAATTGTCACACAGGCTCACTTATAAATAAAGCACAATTTTTGGATAACAATAAGAGGTAAAACAAGTCAGAGGATGTCATACACGTCAGGCTCTGAAATATTATTCTTTACAAAGCCGTGGACAAGCAGGCAAAATAAAAAAGAAAATATGCAATGATGCATAGTTATATATAAATAATACACAATATACTTACCAAGCATTAGGTTGTATTATCACCACTGTCTTCACTTTGAGATGAATAAAATGAGGCGTTCCTACGTTTGAATTTCTTTGTTCCTGAAGGAGTATTTCCAGAACTTGACTCGGACATATCTGAATCGATGTCATCGCTCAGTCTTTTTCCTTTTAATGACATGAGCAAAGCATTTTTTGCAAGTGATGTTTCAGGTTTTAGAGGTTTCGGGAAAGATATTGGTGTTAGCTTTTCGTTTGATAATGAATTACAAGAATCAGAGTCTACAGAGATATTTGCAGGAGATAAATTTCCAATCGGCGTATCACTTAGCTCAGGTTCAATGTGATCAATTTTAGATCCATGTGATTGTCTCACAGGAGTCGAAGTTGCACCAAAAACTGGAGCTGGTAAACTAAGCGATAGACGCATTACTCCTCTGTTTGTTTCAGAGCCAGACGACGTTTTATTTCCACTATCATCATCACTTGAAAGAGAGGATAAAACTAAAGGACTTTCTGGTTCAGTTTCATCCATTTTGATTCCGTTATTCACTTTTTTTTTGTCCGAAAGGATTGAAATTGAAAGTTCAGTATTTGTTTTGTTCGTTGTTTCAATTTCATTCTTATTCACATCACCATCAGCGTCGTCGTCTGAACCCAAGTCAATTTCATCTTCGTTGATTGACGTACTGCTAACAATTGTACTTGGCATTTCTTCATCTTCATCATATAGTACTGAACTGCTGTTAAAACTGAGACTGAGGTCACCACCTTCTGCTGCTATTGCCATCATCAAAGGGTCATTAATCTCAAGCTTAGCACAGAACTCCGTTGTTTGATGACTCGTTTTACATAAAATAGGTTTATGACGGTTATGACGACGAGGGTCATAAAGTGGTGAAATGTCACGCTTGAAATTATTCGGAATGATAAAATCGTTGTTGAATATATTTTTCATCTTATCGACTTTTTCAGATGTGACTACATGTTTCACAAACATGCTGTCATCACTACTTTGCGGAATATACACATTCCTTCTTGATACAGAAACAAGGTCATTTGTCGACTTTAAAATGGCTAACCATTCAGGATCATAACACAAACCCTGATTTTCACAATTTTCAGGGACTTTCATATCAATAACTTGAAGAAACTGACGTCTTGGTAGACATTTATCGAGAGCTAGAAAGTTTGTAACTTTGTTATTATTTCCAGGGCCATTGTGCGGAATTACAGCTGAAAATTTGACATGCATATGTCCAGAGAACCAGTGGGTCGGTTTCATGTGCCGCAAAAGCTCCATTGCTGGTGAGCTGCCAAGGCGATTGCGTCGGATATCTTCTTCAAAGAATGGTTTGTGCCTGAGAAGTTCAGAAACGTTTCCATAGTCGACTACTCCATTTGGCCAGTCATGAGACATCATAATATCTAATGGAGTATTCAAAAGTTTCATACGGAAAATTTCGACACTGCGTATATGGTAAACGCTTCTTTTTGTGGTGTTGTCATACGGTGGTTTTTCAAAATGACCTTTGTTGAAATCATGATATTTAAAAATGCCAGATATTCCACCAATGCGTAAACCTTTGTATGTAACAACATTAGAATAACCCATAAAGAATATATTTGGTGCAACCCAACCTCCATAAGGCAATTCTTGTAGATGATTAGATGCCTCATGATTACCACCAATGAAAATAGTTAAATAAGGAGCTTTTTTAATGCCGTTGTAATATTGCCAGAAAGTTTGCATTGATTTGTATTTGTCAGGACAAGCCATGCAGGTCAGATCTGCTTCATCACGAACAGATTGAAAATCTCCACAACATAGCAAGAGTTCGATTTTGATCTTATCTCGTCGTTCCATGTACTGCATTGTTTCATAAATTTTGTCCAATTCTCCATGACAGCATCCCTCTACTGCAATATGCATTGTCGATGTTATTATCAAATACCAGTTGAAACTGGCCCTAACTGGTTAGAAAACAAAAGCCAGCTGAAATTAAGGGATCTTATTTATAAAACTGTATATTATTTTTATTCTAATCAAAATCATTTCTTTTCAATCAGGTAAAATGAAGTGACAGAGGGGGTGAAACCTGTGGCTGGGGTGTATGTCGTCTGATAATAGGTTTAGGGTGTCTCATTAAATATCTGCTGGAAAATTACGTAAATGACAATGAAATGTATGAATAAATATTTTATATATTAAACGGCCTAACAGAGTGATGAATAAACTGATATCATAGTATCTTAAAATTCTAAAATATATAATACAGTAATACCGGTACTGTAACCCCCGTTTGAACATACTGGTTCCGACCATCGTCGGGTGCAGGCACTGTGTGTTTCGGTATTTACCGTACTGTTGGATTTGTATCGCGTAATATCAGCATGATCAAAGCCCATCCACCAGAACTAAAGAAGTTTATGGATAAAAGATTGGATTAAAAGTTAAATGGTGGACGATCTGTTAGGGGTGTTTTGCAAGCTTTCGATCCTTTTATGAATCTAGTTGTGGATGATGGAACAGAGCGCTGAAAAGACTGGACCACTGCACCTGTTGGAATGGTGGTCGTTATTCAGTTCGTGGAAATTCGATTTTAATGTTGGAAGCATTGGAACGGATACAATGATTTTAAATTAAACTAATCAAAGACGACAAAATAACTCAATACTGAACTGAAAGTTATGCCTGTCCTCCAATTCCTCTGCATTTTGTTTGTCCGTTTGTTGTTGTTTTGTTTCTATTAGAGTGACCGAAATAAAATTGATTGATTGATAATACTGTATCGGTATCTGATGTATAAGTTACATACAGACAGGTCTCGTGCAGTTTCGCACCTAGCGTACTTCTGGTGGGCTTAGCATAACAATTTTTTGATATGTCAATCCTAACCCTCATCTGACTACGCCATCCAAAAATTAAATCACTACGACATCACAATCACGTCATGAAGCTTGCTAAATATACGCACGATCGACCAAAATGGCATTGGCGCCGACGATAAAGAACTGACTGACGCTATCGATCTCTCTCCCATTGGAATCGTTGCGACGAGAAAACGAGAGAAATAACTGTTCGATTTCGGGTTATTGTTTGCGCGTCTTGGATGGCAGTTTGTATAGTTTAAAGGGCTCTATTACGTCCCTGTGACGTCGTAATGACGTCATTTTTGGATGGTGTAGTCAGGTGGGGGTTAGGATTGATATGTGGAAAAATTGTCATGCTACGCTCACTATGAAGTATGTTAGGTACGAAACTACATGGGACCCCATACAGACACACAGACATAGTAAGTTACATACAGATACCATCTGACCATGTAAAATATAAAAATATACTCAGATACTGAATCGCACAATATATTACGGTACTGTATAACTTCAGTAGATCTAGGCTACTTACCGTACAGACTTACCGTACGTCAATCAAACACTTGCAAACTTGACTACTGATTTCGAGATTATAGTATTAAATTCCTTTCAGTACTGCAGTACCGTAACGTTACCGGTACTTCAAATACCGGTATTGCTAAGGTCTTGTGGTGCTTTTCTACTGCCAGAGTCTACAAACACACTCAGCCGATACCACCGGTATTGCGTTACCGGTATGATATACAGATATAGGCTATGCCGTACAGTTTTATTGGCATACAAAAAAAATTGCGGAACAAACATAAATCTACAAAACCTGATCCTGTCACCTGTTGGCTCGTATGAACGCTGACTGAATATAAATCACGTGACTCCTCTTTTCCCTTTTTATTGGAATTCAAACACAATCATGCAGACTTCCATAAAGCGACCTAATCCCATTGAGGACTATCGAGTATCGATATGTGTCTGATTTGCAAAGTACAGTACTGAAATTGCAATACTGTGAGCTAATTCGTTACAGTGAAATACTGTCCGAAAATGAAAACAGTATCATTCCTCAGTATTATTTTTTCACCATCTACTTTTTGAATTGCCAATCGGGTCCTTCTGAAGTATGCGCACCAAGATGGCGCACAACCTGAACTCAGGTTGTGTTCCAGATTAGGGTTCAGGATATGCGACGTCTTGGTGCGCATACTCCAGGAGTACCGCCAATCGTACCCAAGAATAGGAAGCAAATTGTGTCTTGAATTTTTCGCAAATAAATTAGAATCGTAAAATCGTGACCAACCTGTTGACTGTACAGAATTAAAACGAAAGATCCGCCTTGGTATTTGGCGCGCGCAAGATGATTAGCTAAGGTTGCAAGTTATACGAAAATAAGGTAATATTTTGGGTTACTTACAAGTACTTTCAAATAGTTATGTATTCTAACAATTACAATTTGCCTATGAGGGAGTTTTAATTTGTTCGGCATATGGCGCGACGTACCGCACCTCGAGTTAAATTCGGAATCCGATAACAAATATACCAACTCTCGGGTGATCAGGAAAACCTTGCAAAGGAGGGTTGTGTAACAGAGGGGATTGGGACAAGTTGTCTACCTTACATCCACCTCGACTATGCAATATCAATTACGGCTTACAGACATTTCGGCTCACAGAAATTTTAAATCAAACGTTCCGGCCCACGCAAGCTTTAGTGCAGAGATACGTTTATAAACAACGCGGGATGCGATAGAAAACGAGGATCGATCATCATGAAAGTTAATGGAAGTATCTCGTTTTATTAATATTCATCATTTCGTCACATCATTTCGCCATATAATATATTGTATAATTGCCATAACACAAACGAAACCAGATTTCTGACACGTACATCCCATATAAAACCTACATGTAGTTTTGTAGTTCTAGGACCTAGAATGCCTCCTTATACTCAAACACAACTACGAAAAATGTAATATTGATATTTTATCGTTTTATTCAGCACACGAAACAAGAGTGCAAAAATATAATAACTTTAAATCAAAACAAACTGGCTTCAAACATTGCATTTTTAGCCTGCACCAATAAAACAACTATTTTTTCTGGCTATAAAATAAACAAGTTTCCACTACAGAAAAAAGAGTTTTTCAGGCGCTCAAAACAAATATTTTTAGGACTTCTAAGATTGCATACCAACAAATATCTTAATTTCGTACCAAAACAAAATCTAAAAAAAAAATTGCAAAATTGAATAGGGAGAGCAACATATGAGCACCTTTAGCCAAACTATAAAGGGAGTGGATCTGAAATATGATTTAGATCTAATATATTATGTGATCAGGAACTAATAAAGTAGCTAATTTTTTTTTCACAAAATGGATAAATAACATGTTATATTAATCCATATCTTTGCTTTTGCGCTGATGGATCGGTTTCCATATATTGCGAAGAGCGAATATAACTATTCAAGTAATGCAGGAGTCTTGCTGCACAGTGCAAAATCCTTGACTGGGCTGAATCAAATATAATATACTCCGTGACAAATGTTGTTGTTCAATATAATCTTATTTCAGAGGACAACATGGAATAAAAAAATAATTACTAAATAAATTATGATTGTGCCAAGAGTGAAAATAATGCGGCAACTTGTTCAGCAGCGAGAAAACAGAATAAATAAAATGAATCTAAGTATCACAGTAATAATCTCTTTTAGCTTAGTGTAATTAAGTAACATTAAATCAGTGAAAATTCCAATAACTCTCAATGCGACATTAAATCAGTGAAAATTCCAATAACTCTCAATGCGATGGCCCAATTCATCGGCTCTCGACCAGTAGGCCACGGCCCACACTAGCATTTTCAAGTGGGCCATAAACTTATTAGAAATGGACAGAGTTATTGAGAAAAAGTTAAATTTGATCGTTAGTGTTATAGTAACGAATGATGACGTTTTTTTCAGTGGTAATTCTCATTTAACTTTAAATTAAGTCTCCATTTTTGCGCATAGAATTTTTGTTCTCCTCGTATATTTCCCCTTGCATGATAAAGTTAATGGGTCGGAGAAGTTTTGTGCAACAAAAGTGGGTTACAAGAGAAAAAACGGCTGAGAACCACTGGCCTAATCTTAACGGGCTAAAATGTTCGACTCAAGTATGTCCGCATCGTGCAGGTTATATTCTTCATTCATAGACAAGCTATGCCTATGACAAACCAAACACTGTAGCTTCATATGTGTGAGTGGCAATTTGTATACATCCTTGTTCACATCTCATTAAAATTTAGCCTATGATTTTGTACTGTAAATAAAATAACTGCCTCCACACCGGTAAACAGAACAGTAAAACTATGTGTTTGTGAAAGCACCAGCGAAATGTGAATTGTAAAATATGAAATGAATAACAAATGTGTATATCTAAAGTTTCAAATTGTGTGAACTAGTATGCGAGGCAGAATTGTGATACCACTGTTTAATAAATGAAATACTAAATTACAGAGCTAATAAAATTTATAGAAATATTAATTTTCCTACAGAGGTAGTAGGTGATTTTCCGCGGCATGTAACAGAATTTGTATATTTTTATTTTATGCTTCTTTTTGTATATAAAAGTTCTGAGCAGTACAGGCTGGACGACCATATATAGAGCACGATGGGACCTAGTATGTGTATGCGCACCAAGATGACGCACAACCTGAACTCAGGTTGTGTACCAGGGGAGGGGGTTCAGGTTGTGCGACATCTTGGTGCGCATACTTCAGGAGTACCGTACGTATGTTTCACTGAAACGTTTGCCAATGTAAAGGAATGCCTGAGTAATTGATCATGTTTATTCCCATTACGAAATTTCTAAATTGTGTCAAGCATTTTATTCCAGTAAACCACTGAACAGCTAAGTACCCAATCGAAAATTTCATGCACAACTGTTTTTTCAAAACAATTCTGAATTTCATTACAATGAATAATTTTGAAATCATATTCATTTATAGTCAAATGAAAGCTATTCAGAAATGTAGCCATTCCAAATGATCATTTGGTGAAACGCTTTCCCATTGCACTAAGTTCTTTATAAATATTGCTATGCAAAGCCCTTATTGCATTAGCTACCAACTCACTAGACCAAATTTGGCAAATATCGAATAGCGTTTTCCCTCAAAATCTCGCTCTGAAAATTTCTCACTCATTGCCACTCTCTTCAATTCATTTAGCATATATAATATAAAATTCCTGAGACAGATGAAGCGAGCAGCAACATAAGTTGATAAAAAGTGATCCATGTTGTAAAATCATCTTTGTATTGTTGGACGGGATTTCTGAAAAAATAAAATACTGTTGAATTGTCAAATAATGGAACTTAGGTTGCAGTTCAGAATGCTGCATATTAGTGATGCATAAACCACATTTATATCAGATTTCACCCAATATTTCTAAATGAATAAAATGTGCAAAAAAGTAATGACTGCAGCCGTGAAAATTAAGCAAATCTGAAAGATTATGATTCTATTTAAAAAAGGTCATTGAATTTAGCAGATTTTTGGGAGCGAACTGAAAAAGGTTACCCACACCTGTACTATAACATTCTCGTTTGAAATATGGATCATTTTCAAGTATGATGTTTACTGATTTAATAACATTAAATAAAATACAATTGTATCAAAGTATTTGTTCATTATTATATCAACATACAATACTCCCAGGCCTTCTTCTTGCTTTAACAACAACTGTTGTCGCTTGTCTTGCCAACACATCTTCAGCACTCTGTCGAAATTTTTGTTTTCTGAAAATATATTGCATGATACAAAAAATTTGAAGTAGAGACAATTTTTAATCAATTGGTATACCTTGCCCCAGATTTATTAAAATTCCGGTACTCCCGTAGTGTGTGTACCAGATTAGGGTTGGGTCATAATTTTATTCAGATTTTCCTTTTTTTAGTTCTATTACAGAATCGAGGACTGTCTGTGTTACCCAAGTGAATATACCCCTGCTCATGAGCTTCAGTCCCTTTACACAACTTGATGTAAAATAGGCGAACAAAATTAGTTATCTCCATATTTGGTACACACACTTCTGGAGCGCCCACAATAGGACTTCTATCCAACTTTAGTTATCAATAGTGAACGTGAAACTAATAGATAACGAGGACTGTTAGAAAAATTCATTCACTTACTCTTCTTTCAAATATCTATTAATTTCAATTTTCCAAATTCCGTGGAAATCGAGACAAAAACTTTGCCATAGTGAAAAGAAATCTTTAGGTTCAACAGCTTTTGAAGAAGACTTAGATTTGATGCAAAAGAATTCAACAGCATCTCGAAAACTGCAAAATAATTTTTCAAGTTCGATAAAAATTTACAGTTCACCATAAACAGTACCTAATTTATTGCTAATGATTGCCAATATCATATAATTAGATTACAAATTATGAAGCGACATAAACATACTTCTAGGAACTGTTTGCGACATGAAGAGAGAGAAAGTTCATTTCAAGTGCCAAACCAAGAAAACACAAAATAAGCAGACGAATATATAAATTATAAATAAAAACGCTTTCAGTATGATATGGTTGGAAGACAACGATATGCCCTTTGGGGTCATCATAGTCAGTTGCCACCCAATACAAGTTGATAGGTATTAGAATCATTCCCTCTAAACAAATGTTGCTGCTTGTCTCATCTGTTCTCAAGAATTTTCATTTTTGAATACTCTTTTTCAAGAGGGGTGGAGTGTCAATGAGTTATAAATGTATCGAGAACAACGCAATAGATTCAAATTTAGTTGATGTAACAGCTGGTACACTGAGCTCTACATGGTCACAAATATGGGGCCATATTCACAACACGATGTAAGTACTTCTACTTGGCGTGGCACAACCTTTTTTGCATATGTTACACCTAACCCCCACCTAACTACGTCACAACGGCCTCGCAGTAACGTAATAAGGCCCTCCAAACTATACTAACTGTCATCTAAGACACACAGACGATCACCAAAAATTGAGCAAGCTATTTCTCTCGTTTTCAAGTCGTAACGATCCCGATATGAGTGAGATCGCTGGCGTTGGTAAGTTCGTTATTGTTGGCGAATATGCCATTTCGGTCGATCGTAGCTATACTTTGGCAAGTTGGATGGCATAGCCAAGTGGGCTTGGGAATAACATATGTAAAAATGATTGTGCCACGCTAAATAGAAGTACTTACGTTGTTTAGTGAACATGCACCCAAATATGGATTATAAAACAGCTTATATTATTGTATTTGAAATTGTGCTGCTATTGCACAATACCAGATTAATATTAATATAATGACTGCTAGACTGATCAGAACTTGAACCTATGGTTTTTTGCATTTGCACTGAAAATAAGTGTGGACAATTATTTATTCCGGATAAAATCTTCTGAATAGCACAAATTTTTTTTTTAGAGCGCATTTACAATCTTATTTTATCCTACAAAAGTTGTACTTTATTGGCGTAAAATTTAATTTAAATTATTTGAAATAGTCCATAGATACCTTTTCTGTGCCTTATCATATTCAGCTTCATCTTTCTCAATATTTATATACGCTGTTGAAGAAACAAAATAATAACAGTTAGAAAGAAGAATTCATATATGGGCCAATATGGCCCACAATCGCTATTTGAATGGCCTCTTACGTGGAGCGCATCATTACCAATAATATTCAGTTGCAGAAAAACATATTTAAATGATGAAATAACCGAAAAAATATGAACCTGATTGTGAAAAGTTCAACAAATTTTTCACAATGTTTGAGATAAAAATATAAAAAATATCGTAAAATCATAATCTACACCCAATAACTCATACTATAAAATCCCCAAGCCCACCCCCTCACCCCAAGGGTTGGACAAGAAATGCCAAATCTTAAAAATTTCTGTCCTCCCAAGACCCAAACTAGAGTAGCCTGTTACCTGTTCAGAGGACAAGGTAAATATGAACGAAGTTTGAATTCTACCAATTACTATATTAATCATACTGATGGCAATTTGTGGCAAACATTGCATGATAACTCAAATTTTTCAGTGTGTACGTAAAGTATTTTTTATGTAAAATTAAAAATACGATATTTTACCATTTTCAAGAAAAGTTTCCATGATAGATTTAAAAGGTTGAGAATGCTTCTTTGATTTTTTGATGACATCAGACACACGCTTCTCACAATCTGTAGAGTGAAAAGAATTATCAATCTAAGGTCGATACATTGATTGATATTCCCTTTGTTTGTGTACCAATCAGTTTAGGGTTAGGCCATAATTTCATTCCGATTTTCCTTATTTTAGTTCTATTACGAGTTTGGGGACTGTCTGTGTTAGCCAAGTGAATATCCCTGCCCATAGGCTTCCGTCCCTTTACACAACTTGATGTAAAATAGGCAAACAAAATTAGTTACCTCCATATTGGTACACATACTTATGGAGCCTATTAATCAAATATACTCCAACAATCTTAAACACTGAAGGCCAAAAATCACATTCCATGTAATACAAATTCAACCGAGCTTCTGGTAAAAAGCATATTTTAGCTTTGTCAAGAATTTCACATAAATTTGTCTCTATTACTGATATCTGATATGAAGTATTTACGATATCTTGTTATTCAAGCATACTTGTAAGAATAGACACAAACAACCAAAGTGAAACAAATGATAGACATTAGACAGTTCATCAAACGTCCCACAACACAACTCAAAATATACATTGACGAAAATATTCAATTCAATGAAAAAATATATTGTATAAAATATGATATGAACTATTGTTTGAAGGTAACTCTGCAAAACATAAAATACTTACCTTTCAAACCTTTTCTTATCCTTCTCAACTCTTTGGTAATATCACTGAAATTAACTTGCGAAGCAAGAACTATACTTTGGAATGTTGGAACAGGACATTCTCTCTGTAGGACCTCAACATCCTATGCAAAAAAATAAGTTCAATTATTTTCTATACCATTAAAATCTTAAATTATCTTGATTAAAGGCAGAGATGGGAGTCCTAGTACGACGAGTTTTTATTGATATAATTTCAACTTCCCGGAAGGCAGAGTAAAGTCAAAATTCTACAAAATTTTTAGACAACTGATGAAGATTGAAAATCCAAGTCAAAGTTTCCAACAGAAAGTCAAAACTCATAATTAAGCATTGTTCGCAAATAATTGAAAAGGCATACACATAAGTTTCCTCATTGACATAGTTGAAACCAAAATTTCTGTCAACCCAAAGAAGGCTTTTTAGACACATTGCCTTCAATTTATCCAAATGATTATTTGTCAATTGAAAGTATTTTTCTAGATTCAAACATTTAAAATATCGTATATGATCAATTTCAGAAAAAAACACCGTCTAGTTACTAAATAAAATCCCAAAATACCTTGTCATATGTCCTTATGTATGCCCATGCAATGTAATTCAATAAACTGAAACTGGTACCATCTTTAACACCTTTCACATCTTTTAATTTTGATAAAATCTCAAGTTGGAATCCATCGGCTTGTCCACGGGTTCGATTGCCTTGAAAACAGTGAAAAAGGAAATCAAATATATCAAAATTGAAATAGAAAATAAATTTTTCTCAAAAAAGTTCTTATTTTTATAAATCACATTTTTAAGGAAATTTGTCATTAAAAAAAATTGATAAATTTCCAAACCTCCATTAAGATAATTTCCGACACTCAAAACAAGACCAAGTATTCGAAGTATAGTGTTTGGATCTTGAAGTTCCTGTGAATAAAACATAAAACAATTTTTGTGTTAAAATCTTTAGTTTTGTATAGCGTATAGCCTTCGCGGGATTGTCAACGCTCCATTTTCCCCATTCAAGCATAAAATCTGAATCCGAAAGTTTTTTTTTTCTTGAGATATATATGAAACATCCTTTATCATAGTTTATCATTATGCCTAATTAAACAGAGCCACACCAGAAATCAACTGATATTTGAATACGATCAAAATTATTAAAACTGTTATTGCTATTGACTGTTTGTAGTTTTACAATAACAAAAAACAAGCATATTTAACTGCAGTTCAAATTTTGATATTTGTTCAAACTCAATTCTTTACCTAACCATACATGCCAACTTACATTCAATGCAGTTTTTATGTTCATTAATTCCTTCTGTACGCCTTGTATATCTTCGTTGAAACTTGTTCGAAATGTAATGCAAAACATTCGATCTTCAAAATTGTCGATTTCATATAAACTGTATAAAAATCTGAAAATGAAGACAAAATTTATTGAATCGGTTGTGAGAAGAAGATGACAATTTGAGGAAAATCCTGATCAAGCTCCAAGAAATGTAAATTATAATAACCAAAACTTCACCGAAAAGAAGGTTTATTTTTAAATTGCATGCATATTTTTAATGAGCGTCAAGTTTGTTAGAAATTTAGACTTCAATATCATCACCATAATAAGTCAAAAATTGTGACTCTGAGGAGATCGAAAATGCAATTTTGATGTCAACTGTAATAGAAATAAAAAACATGCCAAATCAGATTTTATACCCTTGGAAGAACATATTGCCATCCTATGTATAATATCATACTGAGCGAACTTCAGGCGCGTTAAGGCCAGGATTTATAACGCAAAAATGATATAATACAACATAGAAATAGAATACGTATTTTCTATTTTTAAAGAAAACTTACTTTTCTGGTTTATCTAATCCTTGTTTTTCTTCTTCTTTTTTATTTTTCTGACTTTCCAGATGTGATTTAATACTTTTCAATTCATCACTGCTGGCTCTCTTGAATAAGAAAGTAACATAAAAATAGTTGACAAAAAAGAAAATCGACAAGTTCATGGGGTAATCATGAGAATATCATTGAAAATTATTGTTGTTTCAAAATGATCTTCTTCAAATATTTGTAGACTTGAATTTAATTTTTTTCCCTCAAAGTCACTGGAATTATGAAATGGACCATAATTTCTCTAACTGGGCCTTCGCCCTTCTAGTGCCAAAAGTATCTGGAGTATTTGAATCATGGTAGTTTGAAAAACACTGGCCTATTTCGCATACATAGGAATGCTTTCATTTTGCACAAACAGTTTGAAATGAATTCCTTGATAAAAGAACCACATGAGACAAATCTGGCCCTCTAGTTACCTCATATTGGAACATAAGTTTTGGACAAAGTTTACATTTTTAAAAAAAAAACATTTCATTTTTTGAAACTTACCAAATTATAAATGGATATCATGCTTTCTTCATCTACAGTTGTAATGTCGAGATTCAATATGGCTAAAAATGAGGAAACATTATTAATACACCATAAAATTAGTTTAAAAACATCATAGAAATTGATATAAAAATAGTAAATGTATGATCATTCGGCTTGTGATCGTGACAATATGGTAGTTTGGTTGGTTCAATGGCTGTCACTCACATTCTATCAGCCATTCATTTTTATTCCTGGGCACTAGTATTCTTTTTACGTGGCAAAAAGCGATGAAAGAAAATGCTCTACTTACCATTTTGTAAGTCTGTCATTTCAACATGTAAACTTGATAAAAATATGCCAACAGCTTGAGAACGTTTACCTTCAAGAATTTTCGCTGGATTAATCTAAAAACATATTTTTAAAAATATTAAATATGAAAAACACTAAAGTTTCCTTATAAGAAATAAAATGAATAAAACATTCGAAACATATATGCCACACAAAAACTCTCATTCATATTGGATTAGCTAGTGTTCCTCAACTGGGACCATCCAGAAGTTGAAATATTACTTTATATTTGATGGGCCCCTGCCCCTGCGCTTACAAATCAATTGTTTGGGATATATAAACAGACGAAAAAATTCCGCCGTGCCGAGTGGGTCGAGATGAAGAAGTGCGAACATATACGATTATACGAACATACACAGCGTAATCAGTGGTACAGTAGCAAGTATATTCCTAATCCTTAGCATATGACTAATAACTGCCGTGTTGAATATTTGACTATCGTAAACATACCTTTTTTTTCTTTTCCGTCATTAAATCACTTAATGCTTTTGATTTTTTCACAGTTGTTGTTTTGCAGAATGTTGATTCCATTTCATCTGTGTTTATTGCAGCGTCTTCGATCTTTGCCCAAACAGATCTTTATAACAAAGAGGAGGATGGAATTTAAATGGTCACGGAAGATGAATTTTGAAAGTATGAATTTACTATGAAACAATATTCACAGATAGCAGCAATGCAAATATAACTAATATATTCTTCAGCAGTTCAAGCAAGTTCATAAGTTAACCTGTTCAAGCAATTTTTAGTGCTGGAATTCATACTGTTAGTGCAATTTTTTAAAGCAAAGTCACTCCAATAAAAGTTGAATATTAACGGTAAAACAAAAATGATGAAGGTGATGAACAAAGCAAGTGCTAGAGATAGATATAAATCTATTAATGAACATATCAGACGCTATATCACAGTTGACAGACAAGTCATGAAAAACGTCAATGCCTTCAGGTTAAAATAATAACTTGTTGGAAAAAAATTTTACAAAGCAATCTTGAAAAAAAAAATATGACAAGCAATCTTGTTAACAAACGAAATCTTATTCAGTTTATATATAGAACTTGCTGGTAATTTAGTAGCTTAATCAACAATATTTTTTACGGGAGAGATAGAAAGAACTTTGTTGAACATAGTCTGGTACAATATATTAAAATGAGAAAAACTTCAGATTATTAAATCAGAAAAATATCAAAACAAATTGATGCTATTCTGCAATTTTCTGCAATTATATACAAAATAGTTATCTAAAATTATATTTATAGGCCTATTCAATATTTATGAAAATGCAAAACAAAATGTTTTTGTGGTGTTCCACCTCTATCTTTAAAGTTTTTTAATAACTTGCCAAGCATTCCCTAAGCAACACACAGTATTTTCATGCAAAATAAGAGGCTTTCACTGATACAATTCAGTATGCACCAAGTACAACAATACAACTTGATCTAACAGAGAATAACCATACATTAGAACCAACACCGGCAATAACGTCAAGGATCGGTAATGCCCTCTGCTCGTATCCTCGTACATTTATATCGTGCAGGACTAAATCATTCATGCAATTAATGATCATCAAACCATTACCGCTACATCTCTATTCCTACTTTACCTATTATTTGGCAGTTCCTTCTTAGGGATTTGAATTCTTTTCCAGTACAGTGGTTTCATCGGTTTCTTCGGTTCAACAGGAGCTCGTTTAGGTGCTGAAAATGTTAACAACATATAGTTACAAAATTTTGAATTAGAAAAATTGGGTGATAAAATGAGGATATTAAGATGGGACCTAAAAACAGCGGCGTAGCCAGGGATTTCAAAGGGGTGGGGGGGTCTGAAATTTATAATTGCCAAGTTACATCGTGAAAGAAAGCGGGTCAGGCCGAGTCTGAGTGTCTAAAAAGCGTTTCAAGTCACAACAAATTGCCATGAATAATACAGAAGAATTTTTTTTCTCACATTTCAAAAGTGGAATAAAAAATTTTCATCTCGCTTGGCTTCCCAGGCCATTCTCTAATCCACAAAACAAAAGTTATTAAGAAGATTAATTTTAAAAACTAACTTACAATCTTCTTTGATGGTTGCAAGGCCGCGTACAAGAGGGGGCGGTGGTGGTACCCCGCTCAAGGGTGGGGGAGGGGGTGGTGGAATTCCGGGAGGGGGCGGTGGGGGAGGAATTCCTGGAGGCGGGGGAGGGGGTGGTGGTGGTGGCGGCGGCGGGGGTGCACTAATCGGCGGAGGGGGAACATTTTCCTTTGGAAGGCTTATCTGAGAAGGAGGCAGGAGTGACTCTTTTTCAATATCAACTTGAATTCCCTGAAAAAGGTTGAGAATAAAATTGAATTCGAATACAAATTATGTTTTTGCGCCTGTAGATCTGTTACGTAACAACAGAGGTGGATACTACATTCTGCAATTTCGTAATATGCAGTTTATTCATCTGCTGGGCCGAGTTTAGCAAACATGAGTAACTTTTTTAGTATTTCAAAGGAAAGTCAGGCAGATATGAGGAAGACAAGTCAACATTGCCATTACTCTTTAGGCCTACATGTTTACAAACTTTAAGAAGCATAAAATTCACATTAACGATCACAAAACTGAGTTCTATTTAGAGGAAGCAGCAGCAATTTTTTTAGTGTAACTGCGTTGTAACTGTGTGTGATAATTTGGTGCCGTGCGAACAAAAAGTTTGGAAACCATTGGACTATAATAAGTAGATTTTATATGCTGAATACTAATAATATTGTTCATTTTACTTATCATAAAACAAACCTTCGTCAGCCTCAGTTGAGCTACATGTTGTGTTTGCGTCGATACATCATTTTTATCTGCATTTAATTTTGCTTTCAATTCAGCATTTTTTTGTTTCAAGATGTTTGAATCCTGTTGCATTGACTCGATCTGGTTTAAAAAACAATACTTTCAAAAAATATCACAATGACGAACTATTCCGAGTTTATTTTAATTGAATTACTCGGAGACTCAAAGCGGTTATCAAATCCCGTCAAATTACATGTGATGTTAAAGTTTGCAACTCAATATACTCACTTCTTGAGTGTACTCCTCGTTCATTTCATAAATATTTGTCTCATATTCTTTCTAAAGGAAACAAAAATATATGCATTTTACATTTGAAAAGTTGTGAATATAACTATAAAATTGACGTTATTACATTAACTACTCACTGTAATTTTATACAACTCATCACTGTGGTTTTTTTTCAAATCCATCAGTATCTGTTGATGTTCTGTTGAAAACAAAATAAAATTTTTAGGATCGTTAAAGCAAAATCGTAACCCCACGGATTTGGGTTCTCCCCACACAGATTCGATGCCAACAAACTCTCTACAAGCAATCTTTATTATCATTGCCTACAACTCTAGTACAGGTTTACATCTGGGCAGGGGAATAAATAGGGGGAATTGGTGAAATAACTATATTATAATAATATCATATATGAAGATATCTAATCAAGATTTTTAATTGACAATTCGGTTACCCACAATTGTAAATGCTTCGTCAAAATCAAATTTATAACATTTTATTTCATTTACAAATTATACAAATTTATAAATAACTGACAAATATGAAAAACACCTCATGCAAAACTATCGATGATGGATAACACGTATTTTGAAGTTTCTTGCATAATATGATTCTATATTATTATATCAATAACAAGAGAGCACTTCTAAAATATATAGACACGAAGGTCACGCATTAGTACCGGTACGGTTCCCTGCAGGTATTAGCGGATAAAAATACAGAGGTAGTCGAACAATTTGGAATAAAAAAGAATTCCTCTTAATAAAAATAAAACAGCAAAATAATGCAAAGGTCCACTTCATGTTAAATATCCTTACTAACAATTAATTTGCTATATAATAAACTAATACTATGCTACTATAATATAGTAATTCCATACTAAATGAATCAGTCATAACATCAAGAGGCTCATGCCCAATATAAATGATGAAAAAACAATTTTGATAAATCAGGGTATTTAACTTAACAACCAATTAGAGAAACTCATAAAACATTAGATAAAAGCAATATTTACATATTACTTTAAAAGCATTATAAAATAACTATTTAATGATTCAGAAATTTGACTTGAAATTTCTGATGACACATTACAAATGATAAATCATGTTGCCAGATAATATCGGTCAAATTATTTTTGATAATATATGAAGCAAGTATAATACATCCGTAGATAATACTTAGCAAGATATTATTCTGGCAACACTGAAAACGAAATGAGAGATGATGGTATCAGATCTTACCAGTGATATTATCTGGACAAATGAATAATAAAAATAAATTGAAGTATTAAACGGATTTGGAGAAGAATTTGACAAATTTTCATTCAAAATTTTTCACGGCCGGCGTTTGGCATCTGATGGATTGTGTATTAAACCGGTGTATGTTCAAAAAATTGTTAAAATAATCAAAATAGATACAAAATGTGTATTCATACTGGTATCGCTTTTCAAATAAAATTTTTATAAGTGCCAAAAATTAAAAGTTATAAACTTATAATGTGTGATGCACAGATTTTACAGTATTTTTGTTAAAAAACTTCGTAACTAATTCAGTTCGATATAACTATGTCTATATAAATCAGGACACAATCACATATATTACCTGCTTCCGTATATTTGAGTCCATGAGCATCATCTTCCTGGGGTTTGGGTGGAGGCCAAACTGATGTGAGCTTCTTATTTGCACTGTTGCCACCTTTTTGAACAATACCATTCATTTTTATTCGACACAATTTATTTGCTACAGAAGACATAAACATTATATTGTTAATAAGAAAAAATGGAGAGAATAAAACAATTTTCTGAATTTTTTTCATTAGTATTTTCAACTAATATTTTAAATTGAATATTAAATCAGCATTTATTTGTAGAAAACCTAGAATCATTTCATCTCAGATTAACAAATGAAAAGTCAAATAACTTCTAATCTACACAATTAAAACTGAATTCAGATTGTAAATAGAGTTAGTATTACACAGAATACATGCTCAAATTGATTGAATATTCATTTCTAAGGTATAGCGATTCTTGGATTAAAGAATAATTTAAAATAGCTTCATTGAAAATATTTTTCATTTCAGAATTTTAACAGTACATCATCTAAACAAGTTTGGTTCAGATTTTGAAAACGACAAAAAACGCAACAAATCATTTTTTATAATTTTGCTGCTGAACCCACAAGAACTTCTAAATTTTATTTGTTTTACACGACCAGATTTAAAACAAAATATATAATCCATAGTTGTAAATATTATATCAGATTGTATTCAACCTTGTTAGGAATCTAAATTTTTTTCCCTTATAAAGCTTTTTTATTACATATTAATCTATCTAGATTTTATTCAGATATACAAATCCTTCCACTTTCTCAAATTAAATCTCCTTTGTTTCATGTCAGGTATACAATGCTAAACTGTAAAAAGCCAAATCCTAGATAGAGCAAGTTAATTCAACACGAACAACGAGAGGCGTATAATTTTGTCTCAAAACTCACAATTAGTTCATACAATTATACACAATCTTAAGTAACGAGTTATATACAATCAGGTATGATTTGTACATGAATATTATAATGAAATTGATGTTATCCATGGCCAAACTTGATAAAAGTCGCAATACTTGCGACGATAGCCTGAAGAAATGGTGTAAATATTTTTTCGGCAAATTTAAAAAACAAACAAATAATTTTTTTATCTAAAATACAGAGGTTACTTCCGTTAATTATCTCAAGAATAAAATTAAGCTGGATTATATTTATTAAATACCAGTGGATAATATATTATTGCGCTTTAAACTGCAAGAAACCTACACAAAAGTTAGAAATGAATCCATACCATGATTGCTACTATTTAACATACATGATATATTATTATCCCTGTCATTACCACCATTAAAATTTAAATGGAAAAATTCCATGTCTGTGGCTATTCCCTGGTATTCTGAATAAAACGTTTAATACTCTTTTTTCTGTATGATTTCAGACTCATTTTGATGAAGTTTTTATTACTTCTCAGTTCTCAACTTCTCACATATGATGTTTTAAACTTTTACTCTATTTTATTGTCCTGCTAGCGCTAGGTGAACTGTACCATTTTTTTAATGGAAGGGCTGAAATCTTTAAGTTTGGCATCGTCTACCAGTTCCACGCTATATCAAGTTTTTGGAGGTTTTTCACGATTTTTGCACATTTTAGAAAGGTTTTTAACTTATTTCGAACGTATTTGCAAGGTTCATGTTGGTTTTCCACTGTTTTAGTAAGATTTTGGTGGTTTTCCATGTTTTTTGCATGTTTCAGAAAGTTTTTGTCACGTTTTTAGCAAAGTTTTTGAAGGTTTTTCATGTTTTAGCAAGGTTTTTGATGTTTTTCACGTTTTAGCAAGGTTTTTCACATTTAAGCAAGTTTTTGAAGTTTTTTCATGGTTTTTGCACATTCATTAAGTAAGATTTGGTGGTGGGCATGAGTTTTGAGTAAGAGATTTTTAACATGAGATGCCAACATAGTAAAGTTTTACGCTTGAACAGCTATAGCATCGCCATACAATCCTTATGCGTCTACCAAAGTATGTTCTATTTACGAAGAATCGGTGGAGAGATGTTCATGAGCATTGCGTAAAAAATTGAAATAACAAAGTAGAACAATATAAAAAGACATACTTGCAGGACTACCTGCTGAACTATCAATGTTCACTGATGTATCGATATTCTTGGATTCATCACCATTCTGCGATCTAGTAGACCATAAAGTTGGAGTGAAAAATAGTTTTCTAGGTTTTTGTGTTGGTGATTTGTTTGGATCTTGTGGACTGGTAAAGTCTAGAGCTGCAATCGAATGGAGATATTTTTCTGAAGACTCAGTCTTATTTGAAATATCTTCTGATTGGCCAGCATTTTCTGTAGAAAATGACAAAAAAATAAGTTATCGAATACTATCTATATATTATCAATGCCTAATAGTGTCAATGTCAAATTTAGAAATGCCATGACTGATGGGTGACACATAAACCAATACAGATCCAGACTGCAATGTGAGAAGCATTTTAATATGACATTTAGACTGCTTTAATATATTTGTAATATTTTTGCAAGTTGTAATGAATAAACAACCCAATTTCAAATTATATTCATTTTTAGCAACAACTATTAGTTGTATTTAGTTTTGTTATCATCGCATATTTTTCTTATAATCTCATGTTTTCTTGTAGCTACCAGTTAGGTACTTCACATCAGCGGTTCCCAAACTTTTTTCTCGCGACCCAAATTTATTATTTCCATTATTGGAATTATATGTGAAAAACATAAGAGCTTTGTTGGAATTTTAGTCAAACAGCAATTACACATTACGCAATAATAGAAATAACAAGTTCTGTTAACATCCATAATGATTTAAATTTTGAAATTTGATGAATCAATAATTGACATATCTCGGGATTGAGTCATAAAAGAATCCATAATGAAATACCGGTAATAAAAATATATCTCAGGTTTTCTTAAAGCAAAATTTCAATCTTTTCAAATTTAGTGTTATTTATATGGCACTTGAAAATATCCCTTATTAATAATGAACATAAAATATAATTACCGGGAGAATTTTCTTCATTTGATTTTCTAAATTGGCTATCAACAGGAGGAGCAGTCGTTGGACTGACTTCCACTTGTCTTACTGCAAAATCTCTGTATGTCTGGGTTTTCTTCGGACCAGCACTGGCGTTGTTGGATGTCAATCGACTCAACGCTCCCCAAGTATAAATTTGAGTAGGCTGATAAGAAGAGAATTTGTTTCATGTGGTTATAACATGCTGATAATATAGAATTATGCATCATGTCTTCAGTAATAAAGGCACAATATAAGTAGTGATATAGGTTGACTTGAAAGCACTATAATCTGTCAGTTTAAAAAATTTTCTTCCCTTTGCAAATCAATGGGACAGATAGACTAAAAATCTATAAATTGATAAGGCAGAGCTGTGGAGCAATATAGATGTGGTAAATGGCCAACCACAAGTCAGGTCACCACACCCAATACATGGAACTAATAAAAATATGTCATCTTGACTGTTAGCCAACAATGATTTGAAAAATCATCAAATAGGTCATAAAATGACTTCACTCTATGACTTCATACTCTTTCATACACAGCTTTTGGCAAAACTTAACAATACAAAAGCAATTTATAGTTGAGAGTTGAGACGGACGCAGTTATCAAAGAATCAATGATCATCTAATCAAATGACGGTGTTGACTCATAAAGTGTGTTTTCACATGAGAACAAATATTGCTAATGTCTTTTGATTTCTCAATCATTTTTACAAGTGCCTAAATCAGGGGTTTCAAATTTAATTTACCCAGAGGCCGCTTACGCAAGGGCTGAGTGAGCATTTCTAGTCACAAACATGCAATATAAATAACATAAAAAAACAGGAAATTACAGAAAAATATTAACCCACCATAAATTTTAATCGATTGAACAGAGTATTCCCTTGACTGGACGAATTGTCTTTTTCGTTTGTTGCCATCTTATAATAGGAAAGTCTATCCAACACTGGTGATAATATTCCAACTCGCACAAGGGAATCACAAAATTTTTCAACAAATGTGCTTGATTCCTCATCAGTAGAGTTAGTAAGAAGCCATGAGTTTAAAAGAGAACCTAAAGATAAGACAATAAGATATTATTACAAGTCGGTATAAAGCAGGGGTTGGCAAATTACGGCCCTCGGGTCGGATCTGGCCCACAGAAGTGTTTCATCCGGCCTCTTTGCGTCTGCTAAAATTAAGACTATAGTTTTCACGGATAAAAAATTTTCGTTGAAAATATCAATAAAAATAATGTCATAATGATCCCGATTGTGACTTTGTGCTTCCTATTACTGCATAAATGTTAGCCTAGCTGATGGACTAGCTTTTGTAAATAAACTGGTATATTCATAGTTTTTCATATTGAGTTTTGAGCCTCCGGCCCAGTGGCAATAACCATGTTTAATAATGTCTATAACCGGCCCACTTCAGACATCTAGCCGGGCCACACAAAAAATGTAGCCTGTAGCATACCCCTGGTCTAGGGTCTAGGGACTATGTACTTTTTATATGGTAAATAGTAACATACTATCCTTTATCTTGTTCAAGTATCTATGCAAACAATGGCCCAGATGCTTCTAGAGTTGGAGAAAGTTATCACCTGAATCTGATTTCAAACTCCAACAATGGCCCAAGGAGTGAAAGCCAGGAATTTTCAATGGGGATGGTTCTGAAATTTCAAATGCTTTTATTTACATTTCAAATGGGAGGGAAAGCGTGTTGTGCTTGTGACCCTCAAAAACCCCCCCTGGACCTAATGTATCCAAAAATATAACAAAAGAAATTTCTCAAAATTGAGTTGAATTGAAATTCAAAAACTACTACTCTTATTCAAAAACGCATTTTAGAAAAGGCATATAATCAGGGATGGCCAATACCGAATAGTTCACTATTTCGAATACATTCGAAATTATTATTTTCGAATATGAAATTTCGAATACTTCGAAATTAAGATCCAGTAATAGAATCTAAGTGTATGAAGAAATTTTAATACAATAAACAATGGGAAAACTTCTATTTACAACCTGGCTATATTACCAGGCATTTCATGTTTGCAGATTATTGCGATATATATTTTATATAACATGAGTTGTGTTAATTAACAGAATTAAAATAATACGACAAGGCATTTTAAATAGTGGTATCGGTGATGGATTTGAATGCTTGCGCGCAACACAAAATCATCCTAGTAAAACGCCCATACTTTTAAATACCAACCATTATCCAAATTATTTGTCAAAAAGCGGGATGAAGTATGAGTTCTTTTTCAGACTTGTGACAATTTTTTCGTGAGTACAAAAATACAAATCAAAAAGTAATTATATTCGGGAACTTTACCACACATTTTAAGTCCGCAGATCGCCGTTGTATGTTTGTGTAATAATACTTTTATTATTTTATAAATACGAAAACTATTTATAATCGGGTAGTTTACCACACATTCAATGTCCACAGATCACCGTTGTATTTTGTAAATATAATTAATTTTTGATTCTTATTTTCGTACTCACGAAAAAATTGTCACAAGTCGGAAAAATAATTTATACTTTATTACACATTCAAGTCCACAAATCGCCGTTGTATTTTTGAGGTATAATAGTTTTAATATTTTGTATATACGAATCCGAAATTAATTATAATTGGGCAGTTTACCACACATTTCATGCCCACAAATAACCGTAGTATTTGGTATTAATACTTCCATTATCGATACTTTTGACCATCATTATCAAAATTATTTGCAAGAAAGCGGGTGAAAGTATTTTTCTAATAAATCAACTTGTTTCCCAACTTGTGACAATTTATTGGATATCGTAACAATTACGGCTATAAATACCGTATTTCCCGGCTAAAAAGTCTACATGGCAAATAGGACGATGTATATTTTTAGCACTCAAAAAAGGGGGTTTTCCATATAGGCCTCCAAGAAGAGGGGTAGAAAAATTGTTCCCTGTTGTTCAGTTATGCTAATATGCGCTAATAATAATGTTTAGAACCAGCTCACGTTTGTTAAGTAGAATCATACTCACAGAATTAACTATTTTTAACAATAAAGCGGTAATTTTAAGTTAAAAATCACAATCATTTTGAACAATCTATAATTTTATAGGGTCAGAACAGAACCAGATCATGTTTGTTTGGTAGAACCATACTCACGGAATTAACTATTCTTAACAACGAAGCGGTAAATTTAGATTATAAAGCGGCAATCATTTTGGACAACCTATCAACCCGAATGTTGAAATAATTTTGGAATGTGATAAGTTCCACACGGTACGTCCACGGGTTATTTCACAGCTGTGTTTCATGTCCCTGTCATTTTCTGCTGAATCGGCAAAACCAAAGGGTCATAAATCACTTTATCTCGGTGGCGGTGGCCGTGTTTTCTCTTTTAAGTAACGATAACCAGCCTACGATTAAATATCATGATTGGCAGGCCCATAAGAACCAAATATAAGGTTAACACAAATTATGCTTGAGAAGACTAAGGAGAATGTCGGCAATGTCCACCAACGCAAACGTGCAAATGTGTCCCAACACTATGCGACGTACATTCGCGCTGAATATAAACAATCAAAATGCCGACTCTATTTCATCGTCATTACAATACGCGAGAAAGCGTAAAAAGTCGTTTAAAGATTCCGGTAAAACGAAACACCGTGTTTACGGCGAAAAGTGACTACTATTCGTAATTATTCGGAAATGAGCCGAAAAGGTATTCGAATACTTTGATATTCGAATAATTTCGAATATTCGATTCGTTTTGGACAACCCTGCATATAATAAAAACTTTTTGGCGCTATTAATAAATCAAGATTTGAAATTAAATTTTTTTTGTTATTTTGATTCAAGACAGACCAATATATAATTTTAATTTTATACAACGAAAAAAATTAAAAAAAATAGACGTTTCAGATCATGAATCCTTCCAGTATAGATATTCCTATTTAGCAGCATAATAATGAAACATGAAACATGGTATAGGACCTACAGTATTCATAAAAATACAGGTATCGTTCGAGACTAGGAAAGTAAATCATATCATGCAAAATGAATTCAATGTACATCCCAAAATCTCCATTATCTTATGTGATTTTCAATCTTCTAATTATTTGGAAGGACTGGCACATTCTATAGAAATTTTTTTTAAAAAAAGCATTGAAACTATAAGAATACATTCCTCGATCAGCTTCACATCAAATTCTAAACTTCACTGACTAAATGAAATATTCTCCAAATATACCTGTATACCTTGTATAACAATTATTTTGCTTTGTCCAAAAATGCTAAGCAACTTTCTAGACGAGGCTTTCAAATAAACACAATATTCTAACAAAAGATATGATGCTATATTTCTGCTACTATATTACAGTCTATTAATAATATTTGTCTTCAGGCTATGTGTATAAGCTAATCTGTCAGAATGAATATATATATTCATGTCTGTATTTGACTTGTAGTTCGCGTAACGACAGCTAATGAGCAAAGGTTATGAATCATCAAGATTATCCGGTCACAAATAAGAGATTGAAATTATTAATTAGACGCAAATAATGACACACAACCTGTCATTTTTAATAATTGAATGAACATGAAAATATGAATAATCAGTCGTGGATTCTAGATTCGGTTGTTAGACTGCCAAGAATAACAATCTTTTTTCCAAGGAATAGAAAGTATATTTGTGAGCTTTTGTTATATAATAGTCTCAACTTCTTCAGACAATACAATTTATAACCGTACCTGTAAGGATGAGAATAGTAAAAACTGAAAAATCAAGCCTCTATGATAAAATTGGGAAGCAGAAAGTAAACAAAGAAAACGATTGCTATTGGTCTGAACAGGAACTTAGACAAGCTGCAAATTATGAAATTATGCGAGCTTTAAACTTATACAGCCAAAAGTTGAGGAAATAGAAAGGACCTGCAGTTCAATACTCAACATCCTAGTACCTTGTTGATAAACTAGTTGAACTTAAAGCCAGGTCTGTGGTAAACCTCATTGATAATGATCTATCATATTATTGCGTCACAGTGACTTTAAGAAGACAAAACATATCTCAGATTACTTATACGTCTAGTTTAGAGATCAAAATAAACTAATGTAATAAAAATCTAAAACTGGAATACCTCAAAAATTTTCTGCTTCAACAGTCTGGTAATATTAACAATACTTCTAGTATGTGATTTTATAACTAGCACACCTGATATTTTTTGGGTGGGAATTTCAGACTGCTAATCATACTCAATTTATCCCTTGCCAATGATAATCCAACTAAAATCTAACGTAGCGTAATAATTCAACCATAACCCTTTTCTGCTTGACCTATTCTAAGTAAAGATACTTTAAATTCGCGCCACTGCGCATCAATAGATCTAAAGCAACTGACAAAACACTTCAGAAGAGAATCAAAAAGTGAAAGAAATAAAGTGGAAATGGGGAAAGATTATTTGACTTTCGGGACAAGGGCGTTAAGAAGTGAATCAGTGCACAAGTTTGGACATGATTGGGCTAATGATATTTACATGCGATATCTTTGTACAAGCTTGGTTGGTGGATGTAAATAAATATTGTTAATCAATAACTATCTTGCAAAGAAGAAGGAAATCTTTATTGACAAAAGGGGCTTAGTATATTAAGAGTTATTAGTATCGAGAGTGAGGATTTATGAAAGGTTTGTTGAAAAAGCACTATAGAACGAAGGAATTTTCGCAGAGTTTATTGGAGTTATAAACTACCACAAATTCCAGAAAAGCAAGGGAATTGTTGTCCAAGTGAGTATATTCTTAAATAAATAATTATTATATTAGTCATAATTTTAAATTTACGGTGCGAATCTACTATAAAAAGTAAGACACAGCCAGAACAAATTTATTTAATTATCAGAATACCTATAACAATAATATGTTCGGATATTGAAGATAGAATACATTTTAAATACAAAACAGATAACAGCCAATTCCATCTGATCCATGTTAAAATCGTTATGGCTAAAATTTCCAGTTTTTTGCAAAAAACGTAAAGAGTTTTCACATCCCTACAACAAGACTAAAAATACTTGAAAATTTTACCTGAAAAACCATCTGGCGAGAAGTTCATCAGTTCGTGTAAAGTTGAAGTTAAGTTAGGTTGATTGCACTCGTTAAATAAAAGTTGATCATCACAGTTATCATTCACAGTTGTTTGGTTTGTTAACACTTTGTTGAAAGTTGAGGTTTCTTGCAATAGATTTTCATCTTGTTCAATGTTGATAGGTTGAGTATTACTGTTATAGAAACACAATTAGTTTTTGCACGGTGCTTTCCCATGCTTTCAACCTGAAGAAGACTTTGTAAAAACAGCCACTGAGACATAAAGGGAAACTACTCAAAAAAAAAAGAAATTTTCCTGGGTCTGCATTGCCTAATTAATCACACCCTAAGCACCTCACTTAGGCAAAATTAGAATACAAAATGGCGCTCCAGAAGTGTGTGTACCAATATGGAGTTAACTAATTTTGTTCACCTACTTTACATCAAGTTGTGTTAGGGGACAGAAGCCTATGGAAAGAAGGTATATTCACTTGGCTAACACAGACAGTCCCCGAACTCATTCAGATCACATAGATGTAGGGTGGGTTCGCTCCTTGATAAACAATCAAGAATCTTAAGATAAATACAAAAAATAATATTCCAAAAAACTTACTGAAAAAAATTGTTTCGGGACTGCTGGGTCTGCAGGGGCTTTCTTGTGCCAGCGTGAATTAAAAGGCGATTGTGCAGGAGACATTGGAGTTCTTGTTGATAATATAGGATATGATGGACTGACAGATGGATGTCGCTTGCCAGTGTATTTTCTCGTTGTTAGATGATCAGGAGATTTAATTGAATCTGAAAAAATTGTAAATATTAACGACATGAGAGTTTAAGAATGATTTATTAAAAAATGTTACATACGAGTCTGTGACTGACTGAGAATACTGAAAACAGTTTACATTGTTGTACAGTAGCAGTATAGCTCTGTAATAAACTGAGCAGGGCTGGCATTTTGAATCCAATCAAATAAGAAATTATTCAAATCTGCTAAGACGAAATTTTCGAATCAGCGGCGTCCTATTTTTTTGATATCCGCCAAATGTCAAGGTGATTCCCTCAACTTTTCTTTATTAGAGCTATATTTTTTAAATGCAATTCCGAAACAGTAGAGTTATTGATGAAGCATGTTCACTTTTTGTGTGACAACTCAGTGAACTGACTGAGTGATGTATTCCATGCTTTCAGATGTCTATGTGTGCGAAGGACATTCGATTACATATTATTTTTATTATATATTCAAGCCTCGATTCGATTAAAAAATATAATTTGATTGGATACTGTAATCATAAGCTTCAGGTATTCGAAAATGCCCAGTCCTACGGCAGATTGAAGCCATGCCAACTTGGGGAATCTCTTTAATTCAGAGAGATGTCATTTCAAGTAGCAGCTGTGTTATAGAGAGCCTTGACAAGAACGAGATTATGACAAACTTAAAATCCTACATAGCCAAAGTGGTCATCCGTGTACTAAAGACAAGTCAAGTCAGATTACCATTTAAGTTAAAGATGAATACAATTGTTTCATCTGGGATAATGAGTCAAATTTATTAATTAAAATTATTTGCATGCAAGCTCAATAAATATCGTTTCAAATCGCCCATGAGTATTCTAAGAGTCTTCAAGTTCAAACGTAGTTGGCAAATCTGGCTCGGAATCAGTGAAGATTTGAGTTATAGATAGTAGTTACATGTAACATTTAGTCTTACCGTTAGTTTCCGATATCAACTTTTCTTGTAAGCTTGTTATTGCGCAACAAACACCCCGTAATGTTTGAATTGTTGAATCTTCGTTTGTTTTTAAATCTGAGACCATTTCAATGTCTCTTGGCTGCGTCACATCTGATGAAAAAATAAGAACAAATCAAAATTAGAAACTAGAGAATCCTTACCACCTGAAGAGTCAAGTTATCAGACAAAATAACTGGTAATTAATAAAATTTAACAAGCCTCCCAGAACTCTAACTAGTATTGCATGATGATATGGTGTGTATTCTCCTTATCCATAGCCTGCGCCTAATTTGTGGACTATTTCTTTTGTAGAAGATGTAGATTTCTCTTGTAAATTATTACTGCTTCTAAACTAACTTATGTTTCAAAAATTTAGAGTTTTCATACTATACAAGAGTTGTTTTGGGCATTTTGAGTACAATATAAAAATAGAGCAGGCTATCTTTTCATTATGACATCTATATACCTATGTAAAGTAAAAATAAATCAAACTTCAGAAGGTTAGATTACAAGTCATGACTAGAAATATATTGTAAAATTTGTTTTTCTTCATATCGACTTGAAATGGAGAAATAGAGAAAATTTTATGGTTAATAAATGGTAATTACAAGGATATTACAGCAAGAATCAGAACTTCTAAATCGAATGTTTCAAAGGTCTTGTCATTTTATTCATGCCTGTCTGTAGAGAATAAAAGTGGTGAACTTTGGTGCAAGGCCTGCAATCCAAATATAAATATCTCGCCTTTTAACTTCTTTGGTTCAACATCGAAAGGTTTTCGAAAATCGAACTCTGTTTTTAATGTAGGTTGATAATGAAGTAGATCCTGTATTGATTTGCTGGTTGAAGTATCACATGTTTCCTCATTAGATGTTTTTGATTGTTGTGTCGTCATTAATTTGGGTGATTTCATCTTTTCAGGGTGACCTAGTGGTAGAATGTAAGAGAAGTTACAAAAATGGTCAAAATCCAATAATTTACTATTCTAAATACATTTTGAAATATGGGATATCGAAAGTAATCTGCGTTTGTTTGTTTTGATAAAGGTAGAAGTATGCACAAATCATGGTATGTTTGTAAGAACAAAATATTGCATTACACAGAAAAAATTAAAACATTACATTAGCCGAGTATTGGCTACAGTTTATTTTGTATCAATTCTGACTAAAGGCAATTTCAATAATATAATATAACAATATTGAAATTATATATCTAAAAATTATGCCCTTTTTCTAAATGGAAAAATATAAACAGCGGCAGACCATATCGCCAGATGAGAACAGAACAGGCCTAAGTCACAATTTTGAGTTTTGAGAAAAACGCAAAAAACAATATGGAATTTTTTTATTTTTGAATTTCTAGATATTCACACTTAGTAAAGTCCTGAGCTCTGGTTATTTTAATGTGGATGAGAATATCTTTGTAATCAATATTTTTTGGCACTTCAGCTTCAATTCCTTCCTGCTTTTTTACCCCCATAAGAAACTTTGGCCCATTGTGTTCTCAACAACTTCTGAAATTTTTTGTATGGGATGCAAGGTAAAACAAGGTGACTTAGGCCTAAGTTGCACTGAACAAATTTTTAGGGATGTAAGTTTCGGACATTTCATTTCTGATGTTCATGCCCATCATATCGAAACTTGGGACTATCTTTTTTCAATATTTTGGGGTTTTGAGCCATGCTCTACAAGGTGGGGGTCTTGAAATCCTGAATTTGTCAATAATAAAAATTTTAGCTGGACTTAGGCCCCTTCTGTTCTCATCCAGCGATATTTAAATACCGTAATTTCCAAACAGACTCACCTAATTCTTCTTCGTCCTCAGCTTTACTAGAAATACTGAGAATACCTTGTGAGGAAAGAACACTGATATCGTCATATTGTCCAGAAAGTCTATTGAAAAATGAAAAAATTATTTATTTTTATGAAAATAAATATAAAAACATGGATAACATGATTGATAAAATTTGAAAGCTCCGGAAGTTCAGAAGCTATATTTGACCAATTATAGCAATGCCAAAACACAAGCTTATCAATAAACTTGCCCCTCTTTTCACTACAACATTTGAAGAGTAATTGGTCAGAAGCCTTAATAAAAGCAAATAGTGAATCTAATTTATTCTTATTTCACAATTTATCCATTCTATATTCTTATTTCTTATGTTTTATAACCTTGAGCCGACACTCCTATTATCATGTTGTCTTTTCCTCTTGTTAACAGATGACAAAATGTCAGACTCATCTTCCTGTGCTGCTTGTTGATGAAGACTAGAAACACTTTTTCTTGATTGATGTCGTGAACCTTTCATTATGAATTAGAAGTTGATGATACCAGGTGACTATTTTTTCTCAGAAGTTGAAAAAGAATGACGGGTACACTATAGGGGTAGTGTGAGCAGAGATGAACATAACCGAATAATACACTATTATGAACACATTCTAAAAAAATATTTTTAAATATGTAATATTGAAAACGTTTTAAACTTGGTGAATCTAAATAGAGAAATTTGCACAAACCTTGGCATAAAATCATAAAATCGAATGTAGTAATGCCGAATACTTCAATCAAGTTATTCTTAGGTGAATGAATCTTTAGTTTGACCACCAGAAAATTTAATGATTAGAAAGACAAATTTTAAATGAAAACGTTCTAAATTGATTTTGGACATAACGACTGTTTCAATATTATGTTGTTGTTGTTCCTGTTGTCCTTTTTGTTCTCTGCCTTTTTTTTTGAAAAGCCGCTTTTTTCTTTGATTACTGGACCGATTGCTTTGAAATTTTCTTTAGTTAAGGATAGAATTTTTTTTTAGAAGGCTATTACTTTTATTATTTTCAAATATTCCTGTGAGCTTTATGGGATTCGTTTTTATTTTGACCTATGACGTCATCAGAATTTGCCACCACGTGGCGATTCCGCAAACACATATTGAACAGGTGATCATCGAACAGCTAACAGGTTCCGTGGTCAAGCCTGCTGGTAAGTTACCGTGCCGTACCACAGTGAATTTCAGCATAACGTGTCCATATATTTGAGCACAGCTCTCTTGTTTAAATTGGATAAGTCTATATTACTGTAATAAATATAAAATTTAACCGAATTTGAACATTGAATTATTATTATTATTCGATTCATTATTGACATCCTCGGAGTAGGCTTATTGAAGTACAAATTAATCATTATAATTGTAGAACAAAACTTTTTTTCTAATGTCACAAATTCAATATTACCTCTCTTAGATGATTTTTTGTGTTGACCATGGCTATTAGTGTTCCCCATAACTCTGAAAAAGACCAGATATAGCCATGACATTTCATAGTTTTGGAAAATGATGAATTAAAAAAAAAGAAATTATCGAAGCCAAATAAAAAGTTAATACATACTTAAAAAATAATCAAATGAATAATCCATGAATTCTATTTTTTTTGACATAAAATATTAAACAATTTTTAATAGTAAAATTGTTTAATAATATGTAACATAATAAAGACATAGCAGATACCATTTTCACATAGGTTTTATTCCATCACCATTAGCATGAATCATAACTAAAAAATATTTAATCCAAACATTTTTATAACTCACTGATACACAGTAATCAGTTAATTAAACGATTATAACATTTAATTTAAATCGAAATGGAATACCATCCAAATATTCTTTCAATCATACAGATACAAATTACTTTTAGTTTCTCATAATATCAGAGTAAAAATAATCATACCCGAATGGTAGCAATCTTCTCTTCTTTATGACAGCACAATTGAATAAATCAGAATGAGTATAAGTGAAAGCAAACGTCTTCAAACTTCTCGCAGATCCAGGAAAACTTAAGTCATTCTCCAAATCATCAATGCTATCATCAGAAAGAGAATCTGATTTTTTATCCAAAGCTTCAACAATGTTATTATTATTATTATTGTTCGCTGATTTTGATGATAAGTTAATTCCAGTTTCAGAAAATTGATTTTCCTTGTCGTTGAGAGAGTGTTCTTCATCCACTTCTGGCTTTTTCACACTGCTTTCGCTTTCAACAGCACTACAGTCTGTTCGAGAGTTTGTAATATCTTCTACCTTTTTATCGCTCTGGCATTGATTTTTTCTAATGCTGTTCTGTGTGTCAAAATTTTCCAACGTAACCGCCGAGTTCACGTTGTTTTGTTTCTTTTTGTTTGTACGATCTGACTTCTCTTTTTCAGAAACATTTTGATCAAGTGACGTTGAACAAGAATTAAAAATGCAACATTTTTTTGTTCCACTACACTGGCATTTTATATCACCAATGGGATGTTGTAAATTACATTTGTGTTGTCCCGTAGGAATTAAATTAAGCGTTTTGCATTGAACGCATTTCTTTCCACATACAGATGAAGCCTCAATTTCTCTTTCTCTGCCTTTTGCATTATTAATAATGCATATATGGGATTCATTTGCCGTCGTAGCGTTGCCTTCAACGCAGGGTAGTGGAGTTCTCCAATATAGAATGTCATTGTAGATAATGGTTTCATCAGAGTAATGTTGCTTTATAGACATAGCAGTGGTAAATCAATAATTAGACTTAGTTATCAACATGGTCATAGCTAGTGTAAAAAATGAGGTTTAAAATTTAGTTGTAATGGTTTATAAAGACTGTTTGGTATCAGATTGATAGGGTAAAAGATATATCCTAGTTTAAGTTAAAATAAGTTTGAAGATAACCTAACCTAACCATCAGAATTATTAAAGACAACGAATCAGAAAGTTAATTAATGGTTGACAATAACAGCAGAGTAACAAATAATAAGTCTTAATTAATATTAAACTTTACTATAATTTAAAACTACCCTAAAATTAAAATTATTGAAGCATGTCTGGTCAGAATAATCACCATTAAAACTAAGAGTGAAAATTCTGTAATTTTTAGTGTTTGTGAGTGGTATAATTGAACTAAAGTAGACAATAATAGTTTATTTTAATCCTTGCCATGCATGAACCATAGATATTCCATGTTGTAAAGAGAGTCATGGCAATTTTCTTTTGTCTGATACCTTATTTTAATTTCTGTCAGGCATGACCCATTGATAATCCATGTTTTAGTGCCTGGGGGCTGGAACATATTCACAGCACTATTTACAGATGTGATGAAAAAATATTAAAAAAAAACGTGAAATTCACTTAAAATTGACCCTCTTTTTGCAGCATATTAACAGAATAAAAGATCAGTTGCAAAACAACGACTATTGAGTTTTCATATTGTATCTTATCCAAATGATATGAACCTGATGCAATCAGAAAAGTTAGCATCTAACATGACATGGTTTGCATTTCTCAACAGTGGTGAAAATAAAAGCATTAAAGTAAGCATGTAAATCATATTGTTTATATTACGATAATCGATGCCACTTTGGTATGCGATCTCAGTGTAATAAAACTACTTCGTATGTGACCTCATTTGCTTAAATTGATCTCAATCGTTTAATCTCATAAACCATTCTCGTAGAATTCAGTACCTAACCCTACTATCGTTGGGGTAGGATTAGGTTGATACTAAAATTACTGAGAGCAACAACGGCTGAGATCGCATAGCAAAGTGGCACCAGTTAATTTTTAATTCTACATTAGGATTACTTGGTGTCATGAACAATGATAAAAATGGACTTTTATTTGTCAAGAATAAGTATCTCAGGCCTAGCGTGACTGAGATGGCCAGTTAGATATCTCTCGGTTGATATATGCCTCCTGTAAAAAATGAAGTCTGTTTTTTTTCTCAGCTTGGGTGGTTAGAATTTGAGATCAGGGTTAGACTTAGGGCATTTGAGTCACAGGTACATCATCAACTTTTCCATTTATTATTTCGTTTTTCAACCATTCCAATCAATAAAATTAGTCTATATTTTTAGGGCTTGAGAAAAATTAAATCGCAATTCATATTCTCTATACAAATCGATCATACTATCCAAATGTTTTTATGCAGATCAAACATAAACAACTGACAAAGTAACAATAGCAGCAAAGACTGGAGTTCCATCGACGAAATGACTGTTACAGAAATGATCTTGGTTCAAGTATAAGTACTTGATCATATGGAAAGTTTGGTCGAAAATTTTGATACTAATGAACAAGTGAGATGCTGCCACTTTTGATTTCCTCATTTCCAGGTTCAGAGGTTGAATTGAGGTCAAAGTTCATTTTAAGCAATTCATTGGCACATCCAAAACAAGCCAGGAGGAATTACTGGAAGTGAGATAGCTTGATTATAACAAGGGATAAGAATTTTTTAATACTCAATGATTTCAGAATTGATTTATTTATTTTATAAATCACTGAAATCATAAAATCCATTACTCAGACCTGCAAACAGTTCGCTGAGTTGTTACACACAATAAGAACAATGTTTAAGAAGAAAAGACTCAAATGCAGCAAATGTCAAAATTGGATTGTATTCATTCTGCTTTTCATGCTGTATTGCTTGTTTTTATTCTTGTAATTAACAGAAACTGCAAAATTCTATTCAATTTTGTCAAATTGAGCACAGGTTTACAGAACTGGATAGTCTGATGGTTGGTACACAGAATATGATCCACAATTTTCACACAGATCTGGTTTTCGAATTAAACTTACTTCCGTAGCCGTACTTCCTACGTCATTTTGAAAACAGTAGGCTATCTACTAATCTATGTCTGTATGTATGTAGGTACCGGTACTGATGTAATCCACATACGTAAGAATTCATTGTCACATACCGTACACAGTACCGGTACGGTAATTGCTGAATTGACTAAAAAACCAGAAACAATCTATTTCTGTATTTCGTTACCGTAGACTATTTCAGTATTTATTCACTGTAATCTACAGCACTAACTGACTAAGGTTTTGTTAGGATAGGATTTACAGATTCATACCGGGGGGGGGAGGAAAGCCGATAAGACGGCTTATCCATATGGCGAACCACGGCCTCTCGTCCGGTTATCATTCCATGTCGGGTATGGGATTAGTTCGCTCAGTAATCTGTTTCATTTGTTTTTATCAATTGTCTTTTCAAGATGGAAGAAAGTCAGTACCGGTACCTACGGTTATGGTAGTACCGGTACCGTTACACTTACACACTGTACACAGGTTAGCAGGTACGGTAGCGAAAGTTGCCATACCGGTACCGCACGTACCGGTACTACAGTACTACCATTTCAAAACAAGGTAAACGCTTCTACATGCCTTTTCAGTTTTTAAGGGTGTTAACTGGAAAAGGGTTTATTCATACAATATAGGTTATTTATCGTTTTGTATCCATGGAATACGGTTCCTTACTGCCTGGAGTGGTGTGGGACTGGGAGAATCAGAAACTTGCAATCTCAGTTCAACCAGCCCGCCGCTTTCATCTTTCATGTTTCTCGTGCACCATCTCGCGGAATGACGACTGCCATTGGGATGCTCTTGAAAATTTGATGACCGTTTTGGTGGTCGTTGTAGAGTGAGAGAGAGAGAGAGAGAGATTTATTATTTGTCAACCAGAAAAATATAAATACGATGATAATGATAATAAATATAAAGCAGTAGAAATAATAATAATAAATAGGAAAAAGTAGGAATAACGTTTCTTCGGTATGGACTGAAGGGAGCGATACGACCATACGGTCATCAGAGTCAGCTTGCAACCTCTTGATCAATCAATTTTAAATGTACAAGCTTAAAAATAGGATAAATTGCTAGAAATCCATTACTTTTATTTTGTTTTTCTCAGAGTTCTATGCTCTATGCTCGATAGAACTTCACTAGTTTTATTTTATTTTTGAATAGTTTCAGAGACCGGATTTATTTATTTTGTGTTTACGAGATAGGATTTACGAATTTATTCAAGGGAGGAGAAGAGTCGATAAGACGGCATAATCATTACGCAGACCACGGGCTCTCGCCTGGTTACCAGTCAATGTCGAATATGGGATTAGTTAGCCAGTTTCAGATGCATGGACTTGAGGATGAAGAAAGCCGCAACCGATCAGTGGTAACGTGAATCACCCTATGTCATATGACGTCGAGGATTCCAACAATCTTCTCTCACTTACGTACAATACGCGGGATTCGAACCTACGAACCCACGAAAGGTAATCAGAGGTGCAATGCAAGTGTATTCCCAACAATGCGTCGCGTCGTCTCAATATCGACAACAGATTTGAGTTTAAAACTGGTTCACCGATCATAGCCCACTGGACGCCCGATGTCGCTTTCGTACGAAAATAGTTATTTACAAAATCATAAGTGTCAGAAGATGCCATTTCATATTTATATTGGCGCGAAATATGCATACGTAATTAATTACATTAGTGCTGACGTTTTACACGACTCACCGTTTCCACGTACAGTAAGTAATTTTGAGATATAGGCCGATAAGAGTCAGATAATAAAAATCTTTTTCTTCCACACACGATAATATTTTTGTATTTATTTTCGTATAATATTTTCATGAGTTTAGAATTTAGAATATAAATGAATATAATTGAATAGGTTTTTGATGAAAACTTTGAAATCTTTGTTACTGAATCGTCGTTTCCAATTAACAAACGATCACTCAGGGAGATGCTTGGCATTGGACATTGCCAGAAGAATCTGATGTGTAGTTTGTTACAGCATGAAGGTTGTGATGTAAAAATCATCATCAAAAATTTGACAACCAACTAGCCTAGACAATACATTCATTCAAATTGCTTTCTAAATGTGATTCTGGACAAACTCAATTTTAATTATCTCCACTTTCAAGTAATATAATAAAGACCTAGCTAGAACAAATCCCTATGGACCTTTCCCCGACCTTTGATCCCTGGAAAATTCTTCCTATACTTTACCATTGCAAAATTTTCAGTGCTATTTTAGGAGTGCTTTTGCGAGTTGGCGCCTGTAAAATGGGGTATGTGTTTCAAACCATCATTATGATTCATCGCACACAACAATCTGTTTTTTAAAAGTACCGGTAAAGAATTTCAGGCTAGTCTATCACAGCTATTTCTACACTAATTTTTATTACTGCAATTAAATTAAAACTTCTAGGAAGACAGAGTGATCATTGAATTATATGATTTTTTATTAAGTTTCCGAAACACAACTGAAAACTAACGAATAGAGTTCAAAAACGCGAAAACGAGGTAATGTTTACAACCACGCTTGAAAATCTGTCTGAGTGAGAAAAGTGTCTGAGCGGATGCGAAAAGGGGGGCATTGTTACGTCACATTTTGCATCTTGCTGATTGGCCAATGTCACGAAGTAAACAAGGAAGTCGATGCTCGGGGAAAGGTCCATTGACAATCCATTTCCGACTTTACTCTTCACTTTTGCCCACATTCAACCTTCAGAATTCCGTCAGTCGGCAATTGAGATTTGTTGGTTGGTTACATTTCCAATGCTGATAGTAAAGTCAGACATGAAAAATCGCAAGTGTGTTTATTAGCTTTTTGTTTTCCGAATGGTTGCCCACCCTTGCTCAATGGTTATTGCGTCACTCCAAATTACATGACTCAATGTTATTTCGGGTTGATAACAATTTTTGAATACAATCGGGTGATTCGATGATTAGGTCCAGACATATATTTGTTTTGTTATCTAATTGTCATTTTACTGCATCGAGTTAAAAGCCGAATCGCAGCAGCGATCAGTCATAAATTGAACCTGATTCGTATATGACATTTCCCGCTGGATGTCACGGAGCGGTTCTTTAGGGGTCACAAAAGGTCTTCTCTTGAAACGTAAGCTCACCATTCGCGATAACTAAACTGATTTTAAATAAACTGACTGTGAATTTTTTTATTCTTTGATTATAATGCGTTTCTTTTTTTACTTATTATTTTATCATTGAATTTGGCGTATTAAATACGCGTGATGGAATCGGAATTGGACATTTTTATAGAAGAGCAGATGGCCATAAGTATTGTAAGGTCTTTGGAAAGAAGGAAAAAATATCATGAAAGTTTAGAACCGCTAATCTAAACTCTGTAAAAGAGCAGTTTAAAACTTTAGATGACGACGTTTTAATGTGAAATTAAAACTGAAGCACCAGACTGGTAAGTTTAAAGTAATACATTAGTTCACATCAAATATATATTCGATATATCCGAACCACCATTAGGCGTCAAATGTTCTCACGTGGAAGCGATTAGGGCTGCCAATAATTCAATTATTCTTACTATAACAACTGCTTGTAACGAGATATTTATTATTGGCACACGTACTAAATGAATACATCGTGCTGATAAGTCAATTATTGTGTGGGAGTGTTTACAGTAGCACCAACAACGTTTGTTTAACGCATACTATTATGCTGCGGTTGAAGCCGCAACCTCTCTAAAAAAAGTGTCACGGCGTCGTAGAGAAGTGCATAGTGTATCCCCCTTTACAGCGGAGCCGTAATGTGTACTTAATGTCTAAATCCGGTCTATATGATTATTTAAAGATGTTATTTCTTGGATTGCAACTGTTTACTCGACTTTGGCAAGAGAGATGACAGATAAGATCGTACGTATAACAATGCGAAATAAAATCTTCCGACTTGTAGTGTCTTCATACTGACTGTAAAGCACCTTTACGTTTAACGAATTTGCCGTTATGTGTATTATCTTTTCCGGATAAGTAAATGATTGTGTCAACATAAGAATTACCATTAATTTGTTATCTGTTCAAGGATCTATTTGTTCATGTGGCGCCATTCTTGTTCCTGTCGGGAATGCCGGTAATCATTCGGACTCGCCAAGGCGCCAAATACAAGTCTCAGAATAGACGAAAATTTTCTCTTAAAGATAAATGTGAAACTATTATCTATCTCTATGTTGAGAATTTAAAAACTCGAAAATGGTGGAAACTTTCTAAACCTTTTTATTATGTTTTTTTTCAATTAAATATAATTAATGCACGGCCATACGATCATAGTCTAGTATTTAAGCTCATTGAAGCGTTCCTGACAGTTAGCAGAGAATTTGTCAAAATATGACTTAAAGCCTACAATTTGTCATTTTGTCTATTGTGGGCGTATTCATTTTTTTTTATACACATTGAATTTACCGAATTCCATTCATGTTTATGTCACGTACGAATCAAACGAAAGTTGTGGTATAAACAAACTAAACGTAATTAACTCAATTAGAAAATTCCTTTAACAATGAACGAATGAGATATTAGACGACAAAATGTACAAATTATAATAATTTTGTCACGACTTTTAGAATTGAACAATTTAAATTTTTGTCACTTTCTGTGTTGTAATTATGCTGCTTCAAAAATGATGAAATAATAGAACATTTTAAAGTATTAAAAATTTGCGTTTCCAGGAAGAGCATAGTGGTAAAGAGAATTGATAAATTTAAGCCAAATTGAGACTGAACTTGGATGCCTAGAATTTTCATGTCAAATTGGATGTACCAAATAATGCATACGGAATTTATTTTTGAATAGTAAGGTTCTATTGGTCTACATATTAGTGTATATTACCAAACGATGCAACAAATATATTAATAATTATAATTTGTTCAAAAAAGCACGAAGCAAATCGAATAGCTATTATACACGACCCCTGCAATGTCATCAAAACTCGAGTCGAAAGGCAAATGAATTTAATATAAAGGTGTACCCGTAAATTATGAAAAAAAAATAAAAATAAAAATAAAAAAACAGGGTAACAGGCCCGTAGGACTATGAATGTATAGACGTTGAATAGACAAATTTATTCTTTTTTGTTTTTTTGGTCTTTCTTTGGAAGATTTAATTGAGAGTTTTAAAATAATATATGTAGCAGGTAATATTTGTTTCTCTACGACGAATCCTGTCCATCATGCTTAAACCATTGGTTTAATTAATCGCCAAAGCAGAATATCTTACACAAATTACGGCACTTTATCATTCTTTTTGCTATCAATGATCTCCATCGTCGGAATAATTTACTCAGAAATGTAATTTAATAAATTGCATTTTTTAATATAATCGGCAGATAATTGCAAAAAATCTTCAAAGTTTCATTAAAATTTTTGTTACAATGATTTCAACAATCGTGTCGAAACCAAATAATGAAAGGAAAACAAATTGAAATCAGGAAATATTTAATAACTAAATTGCAACGGCGATCTAACAAAAACATCAAAATAACAATAACAAAATCGTGAGCACAAGCACAATTATGCTAGAAAAATGTGATGTAATATTGTAACAATTCACAACAATCTGATTATTTGATAATATTTGATTATGAAAATATGCCTGTTTAAAATAAAACGATTTAATTTATTGTAAAATAAAAAATAATCATTAAAATAATATTGAATAAATTTTAAATCAAAACAAGAAGCATTTATTTTATAGGATACAAGCAAGTTTCTTTCAA